TTGACAGCAGCCCAACCAACTTCCAGAGCAATCATCTTCTGCAGTTCCAGCCACACTGAACAGCAAGAAGCAGCTGTAGAGACCACAAGCGGTCCCACTAACGACTCATTCACACATCCACCAGTTCATTGGGTTTATTAATGCTAGTCCAGATATCATACATTATGCATCAACAGTGAACCAATTTGATGGTGCATCTTTCATGGCCACATTCACTCACTCAGCTAACAGGCTCCCAAGTCCAGTTCAACGGCCATTGAAAGTTGTACTGACAGAAAAATCACCTGCCATACAACTGGAACCCCTTCCCAGGCATGAGTTGTAGAGTTAAACATTTGTACACTATGTCAAGCATGGGTTAATCAATAACAGAATGCTTGAAATCTGGCGCCCAGACCTTTTCATTGTGGACTCCAGCACAAGCGGCCAGATGTTCCGAACTCTTCTGATACAGAATTTCCAACCCAGCTGTCAGCTTCATGCCCAGCTCAGCACATTTGAATGATGGTGCATCGTACGCAGGCATGGGGTACCCCTTTGGGGCCTGGAACTGGTGCTGCACCAACTGGGCAAATAGTGATCGGTGGAAGTGCACAAGGCGGGGAACCACATCTTGCGGTGGAAAATGTGACATTCGGGAAACTGCCTTCATGTCACTCTTGCTCCGATGGACAAAGGCCCTCACTGCGTCCGACACCAGCTGTGGGTACATTCCGACGACTCTGGCTACCCTTGCAGGAATAAGGCACCTGAATGAAAGCCAATAATGCCCTGAGTCGAAATCTCACAAGTTGCGACAAGTATTGACTCCACATGTAGGTGCTTGGCAGTGATTTGACACAGACAAATCTATGCTCGTCTCAGGAGCTTGCTGGCGGTATTGGGCTGCTTTCATTGCCTGGCGTATTGAATGATTATCACAAGGACCAGCAAAATAGTTCTTCACTGAGCTTTTCCTTGCGTCAGACTTTCAGACTCGTTTTGACACTGTGAGGTATCAGGGAGCGGTCTCCTGGTGCATAGGGCCCAATAGTTTAGCAATAGCATCTTCCTGGTCGGACGAACACACACACTGCATCACAAGGACTGCCTGAAGCATGGAATCGACGGCTTTCAATGGTCTATTCCAATTTTCTCATCCCGAATAGATTTCTGGCACTATCTCCTTCACACCTCCCTGCTCTATCACAGAGCTAAACTAAACATGTTATCCAACCTCCCCCATTATTCATGTGCATTATTCCTCATGGAATCCGTTTGTTCACAACTGCAAATTCTTTCCTGTGTTATTTTTGTGTTTGTATTCGTTTGTGTCCATGACCTTGTCTTCCTCTTCAGTTTTTGCGCCCGCTGTCGAGCCTCTTTGGTGGTGAGCATGAGCCAAAAGCACTATGAGGACAGCAACTTGCACTGCCATTCCTGTCATTTGGTGAAGCTGGGTGGTGTGTGGAGCGAGGATCTGGGGAATTAAAACATTGGTTGTGTATGTCAAGAATTCACGGTGAACAGTTGTCGATGCTAATTGGGTCCAACATTACACCACAAGGGCAAGCAGAGCTCTTTGACTTGTCGATGTTCATATTGCCTTACTCTCAGCACTTGTTTGTGCTGCCATTTCTTTACAGTTAAGAACAATTGAAACAGAAACTCACTCCAAAAGTCTTCTCTCAAAGCATGCGCTCCTTCCTGCTATGTGGCGTAAATCCCTGTTGATTAAATCATTCATAACATTACAAATTACTGCCCAACCTGTGAATAATATTGGAGTCCTTTAGTGCAAATCTGTTCTTCTGTCATATATTAGTACCCTGTGAGCAAAAGAAACCAAAAAGGATTGGCTTGTGCTCCTGCTGAACTAGCACCAGTTCTTTCTCCTTATATCACTAATTTGTGTGACCATTTACTCTGCTGGTTAGGCATTTACTCATCCTTTACATTGCCACAAGGTAGAATAGGGGTGGGAATTAAGTCGTTGTTGATTTCAATTGGGGGGGGTTGCACATGTTTTGTTTTGCCCAAATGTGTTGCAGCAAGGAATCACACGTTTATTCTTATGATCTCTTTATCGCTATATTCTGCAGGATTCTCTTTTCTCTTATGGTCATCTTTCGCCACATGCCCCCACTTGATGCACCAAAACATGACACAGCCCTGCCCCTCCAGCCACAATCACCACTGTCACATTCTGCATTTCCACTGTCATCTTCGTCCGAGCACCAATCCTCCCGCTCCCGCTCACCTGGCCCAGTGCAAATTCTGCTGTGCCCTTGCGGGGTAGCCCTCCAGCCTGGCCTCCAGTGCCGCCTGTACTCCTGCCCTGGCCTCCGTTCCCTGCCCACTGCTCATTGCAACCAAGGCTTCCTGGAGAGCCAGTGGCCGTGAACGGGCCCCAGTGCCCCCGGGTGAGCGCACTATGTGCAGCCTACCGCCCCTCAGCCACACCCTGTTGCCGCTGTTGTCAGGCTTCAGCCACCTGGGGATCGCAAAGGCCGCCTCGATCAGGAGGAACTGCCCATCGTCATCCCAGGTCTGGATGGCGATGTCAGGTATGCGAGCGGAGATCAGCTTCAGCAGGAAGACGATGAGCCACTCGTCCTCGACGCTGTCGCCGAACCTCGTGGCGCCCCACAGGCATGGGGGAGTGGAGAGTGCACTGCCTAGTGGACACAAAGGCTGCGATGTGTCACTGCTTGACCATTGCTATCAATGAGTGGTGGGGCTGCTTGTAATCTGTATTTCTAACAATAAAATGCAAATAGATTATATTACATCAGATGCCAGAAGACGTCGTTGGCGACAGTGACCCTACAAGACACGACCTGAACGATCAGAAATCCAGGCCAGAACCATCGCTGAGACGGGCTGCCTGGATGTCCAGAAACAAATTTGCTTTGCGGTGCAACTCAGACACCTGAAGTGGACATTTTTGACTGTTGGGAACGTGGTTCAGTTTCTTCTCCCTTCCAAAGTCTTTCTTCACTCAACGCCTGGGACAATGCTTGCCTTCGAAACCAGGAAACAAAAATACAGTGTAAACCAACATTTATAGCAATTGCATCCAGGCATTGGTTTGAGTCAATGCCCCAAATTGATTGGAGATGCCAATGGACGGCACTGGACCCATCACGCTGCCCAACATGCAATCTCCAGGTTGATTTGTCCTCGTTCCCTAGACTTAACAATCATGTTGGTGCCATCGTCCGGCAGTCAGTGCCTCAAATCTTCCAAGGGGTCTGCTGAGGACTAATGTGCCACAAATACGACCACAGAAGCTTCATTAGAATCACCTTCCCGTTTCCCCGCTCTGACCCAGGGCGGCTCCGTGCTGTTGCTGCACTGCAGCTCGAAGCCATCTCTCTGCCACACATAGTCGCAAGTGCAGCTCAGGGCGTGTTCGGTGCACGCCCTCCTGAGGCCCTCCAGGTCCGTGCCTGAATCGCCACACAGGCACCCAAGTCTCCAAACTACTCATTCACATCCGTTTGCAACGAGGCAGGCACGCCCATGGGACTGCCCGACTGCTATTCTTGGATATTTCCATTCATTTTCTTTGGCTTCGCGGGAATGGTCCAGCGGAGCAGCGGTGCCTCATCTTCTTTGCCGCGTTTGACGCCTTTGAATTAAACTTGCTGTTGCCTCAGCTGTTGTTCCCCGCCGGCCCGCTCTTTCTGCGTCGCATCGGCGCGCGCGGGCGTGATCCAGCGCACCGGTGGTCGCCGGTCTGCTCGCCACCTTCGGTTTGCGTGGCGCTGCGGCGCACCCACCTTCCGAGGTCGGGTAGACGGCATAATAGACCACGTTCTCCTCGACCGTTTGCGGGACGCCCAAAGCCGCTCGCCAGTCCATGCCGGAGCACCGCGTTCAGCAAACGGCCTGTCGTTTTGGTAACACAGCTGTTACAGCTGTTTTTCGTTTTCAGAATCACAAACTTTCCCCACTGCACAAATCCCGGCACCGGAAGCAAGGTTGAAAACATCTAGTCGAAAGAAAAAATCCCGTGCGTGTCCCTTTCTAATTCTCGAAACAGCGAAGGAATGACATCCGGTTATGTGCTTCCACCAGCGGTGGAGCCACACGAAATCAGTCTTGGCTGACCAATTTGTGTTTTGAACTCGCTGTTAGTCATTGCGCTGCGTCAGCACAATGACGGGCTCGTGACTGCCAGCTGATGGCCAACTCAAGATCAATGGCAGAAATAATGAGTAAGAGGCATCCATAGTGCCTCAAACACTGGGATTTTCATGAAATGATCGGATGCTCACATCATTGAGGTGGCAGCAGCAGCTTACCAGCCCTAAAGGGCAGCTGCACAAGGAGGCTGCTTTAACATTTGTACCTTGGCATGAAACAAAATGTACAAAGAGACAACCGCCAGGGGGGTGGGTAGCTGCAGCTGAGACAAGGGAAGCGCTGTTCGTGGGCTTGACTTCCTTGACTTGCCCAACACAGGCCTGGCTTACAAGCAGACTTGCTAAAATATCCCAAAGCGGCTTGGTTGCCCCAGTCAGCCGCGCGCTCCTCGCCGCAGTGTGGTCACTCAGCGGAAATGCATATTGCCAAGAACCTAGCCACGTTTGAAGGCTGGCAGGGCGATTCTTTTTCTGCATCTCCCGCATTTTCTGAATGCCGGTAGTGCTTTGATGCTAATGGGGCTCACGCTGCATGGTCGTCGCAAAAAGAAGCATGAGAAATTTGTTCAACGGGGAAATGAGATGGCGATCCATGTGTCATGAGAATGACCATAGCGCGAGAGCACGGGCACCGCCAGCGCTCAGTGGGCAAGAGCGGAGGGGTGACATAGTGGCGCCAAGATAGGCAGTCCGGCCAGTTGCCGGCAGTAGTGGTAACATTTTGCATGAGATTTTGGCCCCGGCAAATTGGATGGCGATAGGGCCTCAGGTCATTATGCAATAAACAATGGAAGTTGATCGGGACTGTGCCTACCGCTGGCACGTCTTAAGCCTCGCTCACAAGTTTGGCAACAAAAGTAGAAGGAGGGGGGGGGGATGGATAAAGTGTTTGCTGGAGGCATTCGCAGCCCGGCCGCAGTTCAATAGTGACGGAATACTCGTGCTCTCATGAGTAATGGGGCTGCAGTGCGCGCCACTGGCTTGTTGTATGACACGAAGGGCATAAACGTCGCCAGAAGTGGTTGTGAACGATTCCAGGGTCTAGATGCTGGCACCTTGAGCAAAGCAGGCAGTTGTTGGAGTGCACGCCATTGTATTCACGTGGCGACATGTCTGCATATTGATTTGTTGTAAATCAAGCGCTCAAATGTGTTCAGCCTATTTTCAGCAGTGAGGCTCTTTCCAAAGTCCAGAAGGAGTTCTCAAACTTCGAACCGACCACTAACTGATTTTTTGGGACCAATGGCTCTATGCACAACAGATGTTTGAAGCCTGATTTCTTTGATAACGAACAACGGTTTGTGATCAATCCAACCAGCCAAAGCACGAGGAATGGAGGGTAGGATGCCTGGTAAGTTTCCTCTAAATTCCTTTTAAAGTATGCTTACCAATTGGGTGGATTAAAAAGGATTTTTTATTGAAAGGTTAGGCGTCTCCTCATCAAGTTAGAAGAACGAATGACCATGGTTGCAAGCAAACTTAGGCCCATGTGTACGAACATGAGTCAACACTCACCGAGCGTGGCTCACTGATGCTGCCCTAGAATGGTACACGTGTATCAAACCCATAAACCATACGCTACTTAGTGTACCATATACTACGCAATATACTTATAAAATACACTCCACCATAATGAAAAGCAGTTGGTGCAGAGTATGCGATTTGCAGCGGCAAACCTCCGTGTGGTATCTGTTAAAATGAGCACACCGCCGCATGCATGTGTATCGCACATGAACGTGTGGATCCGTGGCCCCATTTCACTAGGAAAAAACAGGCCAGATGACACAATCCTGACACGGTCTACTAAAAATCCAACTGTGTACTTTCGGCAAATGTGGTCCCAAAAGTACACAGTTAGTGCGCACATTGACACACTTTTAGCCGTGTACCCTCAAACAACTGTGTAGACTACACGGTTTTCTGGGATGCACGGTTAAAACTGTGTAAATGTGTGTACTAACTGTGTACTTTTGGGACCACATTTGCCGAAAGTACACAATTGGTTTTTGAGCAGACCGTGTAAGGACTGTGCCGTCTGGCCTGTTTTTTACTAGTGTTTTGCTTTGAACTTGAGTTTCTGCCTTACCGGTCTCCTGAGCCCACCCCGTCATGTACCCCCATGACAATAATTACAAACAACCGTCAATCGTCACATTCCCGAGGTTCCCGTCCATTAAACTTGCCCATTCGCTTCGCTAGTACTTCAATGCCACTTCAGTGAGTGACTCCCCATGAGTCAGCTCCCTTTCCCGTACTTCACTCCCTCAACTCCCTCACCATCCCACAACTAACCCGAACTCCACTATCCAGGGCGGGAGGGCTGGGTGCGAAACAAGATAAGGAGGGGAACCGAGGGGCTGCCTAAATAGCCGCCCCCCGCCGCCCCGCCAAAGCCCGCCAAACTCGAGGGCGCCCTCGCGGGCGGCACCTCGGAATACCGTACTTTGACTGACCCACGGTACTAGGGGTGGCCAGAAATCCCAAGGGACGGGGTTGAGTAAACCCCAGGTTCAAACTGCACCGTTTGAATCGCCGGTGCAGCCCACCCAACGTCGCCCTTGGCAGAAACCCAGTAACAGGATAGTTAACTTCATTTCTGCCTTACCGGTCTCCTGAGCCCACCCCATCATATACCCCCATGATAATAATTACAAACAACCGTCAATCGTCACATTCCCGAGGTTCCCGTCTATTAAACTTGCCCAGTCACTCTAGGGAACGCGAGGCCCCTCCGGGGCAGAAGGTGTGCCCAAACTGCTCATGCATGTCGCGGGTGGTGATGGTCATCCAACCAAACAGCCGAAAATCCCACTCAGTGGGTAAACGGAAAATATCAATGTAGGACCACAGAGCGTCTGACTTCCACCCACCCCAATCCCGGATGCGCCGCTCCGCGACCTCCAAAGCGAAGCAGCTGGACGCGCCCCCACCGCGCAGACCATGATGCGTGAAGGGCTCGTGGGCCAGGTCCGGAAAGTGCGCGAGCAGGGACGTAAACCAGGAGGCCACCATCTTGGACGAAGGGGTGGCGTCGCCGGGCAGGCGGTAGAAATGGCGCGGCTGCTGGTCCGTTTGCACCCAAGCTTGATCCCGAAAACGAGTCCAGCGGCGCAAAAGGGCGACGACTTCGGGAGCGCCGCGAGAAGGCCATGATCGATAGCGCGACCGGGGCTCCTCCCCGGGGCGCAGCTTGGTCTTGCGCTCGCGAAAAACCACGACCTCCTCATCGATGCGGACGTCATCGACCAGGATGTAATGGCCCGACTGGGCCCTGTTAAAAAAAATGTAGTCGAGGTGGGCAGCACACGCCGCCCGAAGGGTGGGCCCGTCCTCGGTGGTCAGGCCAACGTCCAGAATGCGTAGAAGCAGGGACACAGGGATCGGTCGGCGATGCTGCACCGGGCTCGGGGCCGCCCGGCGCCAAGCGCGGGTGAGGATACGGGTGACCGGGTCGAAGGCCGAGAAACCCAAATGGCCCGCGACATGATGCATCATTGAAATCGCGGCCAGGTACTGGGGCAACGACCGCACGCCCACCTTGCCCTCCTCCCGAAGAAAACGAATGTATCGGTAGATCGATGCCCGCCGGGCGGGCAGCGCGACCAGGTCGTTGGCCTCGCAGAATCGCTGGAAGCGCAAGAACTTGGCCTGGAGCGCCCGACGAGTGGCGTCCGTGTAGGATGCCAGAAACTGATGCTCCATCTAGCAGCGATCGTCACGGAGCAAACCGTCCAGGTCGGTGCCGTACAGGGGGTCATCCTCCGCCAGCGACTCCAGCGGCAAGGCATCCCCCGGATGGTCCCCCGGCGGAGAGGGCAGAACGTCCGGCGGGATCACGCCTTCCTCTGATTCGGTCTCAGATGGCGCGTCGTCCGCGGGCACACATGGAACGCCCATAGGTTCCACCGCGGAGGGGGCAGAGATGCCGGGAGAGTCGGGTCACCGGGGAGAAAAAGGTCGGCCTGGCGGGGGATGAACATTTCCGCCCGGGCGATCGCTCGGAGCGGGTGAAACCACACCGCGCTCGGCCAGTCCGGCGCCAGCACCACCGCCTCCAGCGTCGGCCGTAAGGCGAGGAAGGACACGAGCTTCGCGAGGAGGCTCCACGGGGGATTGCACCAGGACCTGGTGCCGCTCCAATCCTGCTGGAAAGCATCCACTCCTGCCGTACCGACGTCCCAGTACTGACTGTTGAAGCGGGCGCAGAGGGCATTCCGGGCGGACGCGAATCGGTCCACAGAACAGGCCCCGAAGCTGCGGGCGACCTCCCGGAATATGCGCGGATTCAGGCGGTAGTCCTCCGAGGTTCGTATACGGGAAAGCCGGTCCGGCAGTACATTTTCGGCGGAGGGAATGTACTCCGGCTCCAGGAGAATCCGGCGTGCCGTACAGACGGCCTTCAACTGGCGGAGGGGCCTCAGGAGACTAGTGGCCCGGGTAGTCATGGAAAGGATACAGTGCAAGACCACCTGGTTGTCCACCAACAAACGGACCCGCCGGGAAGTCGTCCCGGAGTACTGGCGAGGAAAGAAACTGAGCAGTGCCAAGTACACGGCCTGCATTTCACGAACATTAATGTGAATAAGGTCCCGATCAAAAAAGCCCCTCGCAAGCATGGGGGCCGGGTGACCCAAAGGCTGAAAGGTCGCTCCCCAACCCGTCAGGCTGGCATCCGTCGCCAGGGTGCCAAGCAAAGGCAACGAAGCCGGTTGGAGA